ATCCCTTGTTAAATCCACTTCAATTAGCGTAAATGAAGGGGAGGAGACAGGTTAAAGAAGGATTTTTAAGCCTAGAGACAATTGAGACGTGGATGTGTGTGCCATTCAGAGGGTGAATGGGCAAGACAAAATATTTAAGTGCCTTTGAACTGGGTATAGTAGTAGGTGCCAGGCGCACCGGTTTGTAGCTCAGTTGGTAGAGCATGGCGTTTGCAACGCCAGGGTTGTGGGTTCGATTCCCACGGGGGGCCAGTATGAAAAAATAAAAATATATAATGTATGCACTCACTAACTGTAAGTCGCTCTGGATAAGAGCGTCTGCTAAATGACTAAAATGTAAAAATTTAAAATGTTTGTGTCAAGAACTGCAACGCTGCTGAGTTTTTCAGGCTCAACAGTTTCCTGTGTGTATCAAGAATGGTCCACCACCCAAAGGACATCCAGCCAACTTGACACAACTGTGGGAAGCATTGGAGTCAACTCAATGTTAGGAAGGTGTTCCTAATGTTTGGTATACTCAGTGTATATGTGGTGTGTGTGCGTGTGTGTCTGTGACCGACGGAGGAAATAAAGGTAGTCAAAGCCAAAGGTTCATGCATATTTTATTCAAGAGTAAAAAAAGTGGTTTGTCCCATGGGGCATGCTTACAGTGTGTGTGATAAGGGAGTCCGAGAGAGAGAGAGAGCCATGGCACAAACTACATGGCACGAGGTCTCCAGTAAGTTCACCTCTCAAAATAAAGCACAATGAGACCAAACAAGGATCAGCAAAACGTGAGAGCAACCAGCAGAGAGCTTAAGAATAATGTTAATTATAAATAGAATAATAATAATATTAAATAACAAGAATATAATTTAGAGAGTACATTTTTCCTTTGAAATGTGAGAGACAAAAATTCTGTTACTGTGTCTGCTTTTACAGATGAGTTTAGCATGCAATCATGCTTTGGCTGCCTGAATGGAAGTCTGTCTCTTTATAGCATGGTCATTCATTCACGCTATTGTAGGTTTAAAAGCAACTCCTGTACATCAACAGAGAAGAGAGGAGAGATAGAGTCACAATGCATTTCACCTCATACAAGCTTCCATTCTGTACAGCATCAAAATAAAACAATAAATGAACTCATAATACAGTCATGAAAAACATAATAATAACAATAACAAAATCACACAAAAAATAACAAAAATTACAAAATAAACGTTTTACTAAATAAATATTATCCTTTAGTTAATTCGAAGCAAGAAAAAATGAATTTACCATACTGAAACACGGCACAAATCAAATTTCACATTATTATTATTATTATTATCAAATAACTTAACTGCATGCACTGATGCGTTTATAAATGCTTTACAAATAAATAACCTTCTGTTGACTTCTGTTAGCCACTGCTCACACTCAGCCAAAAACACTTCATTTCAAGGTAGAACACAACATCATATACAGTATAGGGACTTCCTCCAGTGCAGCCAGCTCAGGTTATAGGCTACTGGACAGCAAATTAAGAGGACACCATAGAAATGGAACGCATAGAATGGACTTCACTCATTGCTGATTCTGATTGCATGCCAGCAAAACATTTCAAAATTATTTCAAAATGTCAATCTCTGATACAGGTGTCCATTCTATGCTTTCTATTTCTATTATTGACTTGGCAGCAATATAACATAAAAAGTGTAGCTAGTCCCAGCAAGTGGAATAGGTAAAAGTGGTAAAAAGTTGCCCTTAAATGTGAAATAAGATCAGTTTTGGCAGCAATAGAACATAAGATTGGAATAGACAGACGTCGCCCCTAAAACTGATGTAAGGTCAGTTTTACTTATCTGACTTTAGAGGCAGCGTTTGCCTGGGGTGTATTGAGTGTACTGTGAACTCTGTGTGAATTAACGGTGGGTCACACACCTCAGTTCTGACTAACTGACCAGTGGAGCATATTGGCTTATAAAATAAGATCGAGAGAAAACACTCAAGTAATAAGACTGCAATTTTAACCTTCTGACAACATTGTCTTTTCCTTGAAGTTAATAAATAATATGCTTCATTTCAATGTCCTGTTATTGTCATATAGTACTAGTAGCAAAATATGTTTGATAGCACAACCTTGTATGTTTGCATATGAAAATGCCATTAAAATTTCACCCGTACAGACAACACATTCACTCACACAATCGCAAACGCAGACACAAGCACACACAAATAAACTCCCATGGACGTCATGACAACCATCCAGTCCATCTCTCTATCTATCTAGCTATCTTATAAAATAAAGTTAATGAAGTAAACCACCAACCGGGCTGACAACACAACTTCCTGTTTTAAAATGAGAAGAGGAAACTGAAAAAGTCCCTCTCCCGCATGCCACCTCAGCCCCCGTTGACCTCTCACCCCATGCCTCCCCTCCCCAATCCCCCCCACCCCCCTCCCTCTGCCCCCAACACAACAGAAAGGTAACATCTGTCACCCAGTCACCCCCACTACACAATGAGAACAGAACAGTAGCTCTTTGTTTTGCATTGGAGTGTTCCAGAACTTCCAGTAGAGTGTTCCGTAGTGTGGTGCGGTCAGGTGGTCAGGTCAGGGGCCTGCAGTAGTGTGGTGCGGTCAGGTGGTCAGGTCAGGGGCCTGCAGTAGTGTGGTGCGGTCAGGTGGTCAGGTCAGGGGCCTGCAGTAGTGTGGTGCGGTCAGGTGGTCAGGTCAGGGGCCTGCAGTAGTGTGGTGCGGTCAGGTGGTCAGGTCAGGGGCCTGCAGTAGTGTGGTGCGGTCAGGTGGTCAGGTCAGGGGCCTGCAGTAGTGTGGTGCGGTCAGGTGGTCAGGTCAGGGGCCTGCAGTAGTGTGGTGCGGTCAGGTGGTCAGGTCAGGGGCCTGCAGTAGTGTGTGTGACCAGGTCAGGTAGTGATGGAACCTGCAGTACAGTTTGTCCAGTAGGACGCATCAACCATCCATGGCACAGTCTTGCCACACTGGTGGAGAGATGGGCTGGGCAGCAACAGGACGGGGTAGGGGGAGGAGGAGGATGATGTGTGTACCATCACTGTATAAGGGTATATGTTGACTTGTGTGTCCTGTATGTTTTGTGTTTAAGTGTATGTATAAGTACAGTTGAAGTCGGAAGTTTAGATACACCATAGCCAAATACATTTAAACTCAGTTTTTCACAATTCCTGACATTTAATCCTAGTAAAAATTCCCTGTTTTAGGTCAGTTAGGATCACCACTTTATTTTAAGAATGTGAAATGTCAGCTTTTATTTCTTTCATCACATTCCCAGTGGGTCAGAAGTTTACATACACTCAATTAGTATTTGGTAGCATTGCCTTTAAATTGTTTAACTTGGGTGAAACGTTTCGGGTAGCCTACCACAAGCTTCCCACAATAAGTTGGGTGAATTTTGGCCCATTCCTCCTGACAGAGCTGATGTAACTGAGTCAGGTTTGTAGGCCTCCTTGCTCGCACACACTTTTTCAGTTCTTCCCACACATTTTCTATAGGATTGAGGTCAGGGCTTTGTGATGGCCACTCCAATACCTTGACTTTGTTGTCCTTAAGCCATTTTGCCACAACTTTGGAAGTATGCTTGGGGTCATTGTCCATTTGGAAGACCCATTTGCGATCAAGCTTTAACTTCCTGACTGATGTCTTGAGATGTTGCTTCAATATATCCACATAATTTTCCTTCCTCATGATGCCATCTATTTTGTGAAGTGCACCAGTCCCTCCTGCAGCAAAGCACCCACACCACAGCATGGATGGGCTTGCATGCCACCCCCTTTTTCCTCCAAACATAACAATGGTCATTATGGCCAAACAGTTCTATTTTTGTTTCATCAGACCAGAGGACATTTCTCCAAAAAGTACGATCTTTGTCCCCATGTGCAGTCGCAAACCGTAGTCTGGCTTTTTTATGGCGGTTTTGGAGCAGTGGCTTCTTCCTTGCTGAGCGGCCTTTCAGGTTATGTCGATATAGGACTCGTTTTACTGTGGATATAGATACTTTTGTACCTGTTTCCTCCAGCATCTTCACAAGGTCGTTTGCTGTTGTTCTGGGATTGATTTGCACTTTTCGCACCAAAGTACGTTCATCTCTAGGAGACAGACTGCGTCTCCTTCCTGAGCGGTATGACGGCTGCGTGGTCCCATGGTGTTTATACTTGCGTACTATTGTTTGTACAGATGAACGTGGTACCTTCAGGCGTTTGGAAATTGCTCCCAAGGATGAACAAGACTTGTGGAGGTCTACCATTCTTTTTCTGAGGTCTTGGCTGATTTCTTTTGATTTTCCCATAATGTCAAGCAAAGAGGCACTGAGTTTGAGGTAGGCCTTGAAATACATCCACAGGTACACCTCCAATTGACTCAAATTATGTCAATTAGCCTATCAGAAGCTTCTAAAGCCTTGACATCATTTTCTTGAATTTTCCAAGCTGTTTAAAGGCACAGTCAACTTATTGTACATAAACTTCTGACCCACTGGAATTGTGATACAGTGAATTATAAGTGAAATAACCTATCTGTAAACAATTGTTGGAAAAATTACTTGTGTCATGCATAAAGTAGATATCCTAACCGACTTGCCAAAACTATAGTTTGTTAACAAGAAATGTGTGGAGTGGTTGAAAAACAAGTTTTAATGACTCCAACCTAAGTGTATGTAAACTTCCGACTTCAACTGTATGTGTGTGTACTTTATGTTTAAATCAAGTGTATTTAAGCGTAAGTGTGTCTTTGTGAGTATGTGTAAGTCAAATGTATGAAGAAAAAAATGTATGCACTCACTAACTGTAAGTCGCTCTGGATAAGAGCATCTGCTAAATGACTAAAATGTAAATGTAAATGTGTGTATGTTTGTGTATGTACTTCATATCTATGTGTGTGTTTCAGAGTGTGTATGAATTAGTGTTTAAATGTGTGTGTGTGTGTGTGCCTCATCCCTGTATATTGCTGTTGTTGTCAGTGCCGTTGGGTTCCCCCATGTTCATACGGCCCATGGACAGACCCACACTGTTGACGGCGTCACGGCGGGGGGGCATGCGCTCGTTGATCCGGTCCAGACCCTTGGCCTCCGCAAAGCTATTGATCTTATGTTGAGGAGAGAAGCCTCGGATCGCTGGGGAGACAGATCACAACACAATTACACACACATGTAATACACACATACAATGTAGTTACAATGCAGTTGCTACACACTAAGAAATGAGTGTTCTTTGGGAAGCGTGATGGTTCTATGTGGGACCATAATGACTCAAAGAATTGTTTGAGCCATTCAGTAGTTCTTTGCAGTTCAGAAAAGGGTTCTTTCCTCTTTTAGTGACAATTAAAATGTAGGGGCGTCGGCTCATTCGAATATTTTGGAGCTTGGTTTGCTCACAGCTCCGTTTCAACCGTGATTGAGAGTGTCATTCCAGTCTATCAGTTGTGTTATGCCATTACATGTTAAATATGACTATGGCCAGTGACGGTTATTTATGACTCACGTTCTTTATAGAACCTTAGGAAAGTGTTCTTTATAGCACTATAGCATGTTTCATGAGATGAAATAAAAGATCCCTGAAATTTTCTAGACACACAAAAAGCTTATTTCTCTCAAATTTTGTGCACATATTTGTTTACATCCCTGTTAGTGAGCATTTCTCCTTTGCCAAGATAATCCATCCACCTGACAGGTTTGGCATATCAAGAAGCTGATTAAACAGCATGATCATTACACAGGTGCACCTTGTGCTGGGGACAATAAAAGGCCACTAAAATGTGCAGTTTTGTCACAACACAATGCCACAGATGTCTACATTTTGAGGGAGCGCACAATTGGCATACTGACTGCAGGAATGTCCACCAGAGCTGTTGCCAGAGAATTTAATGTTCATTTATCTAGCATAAGTTGTGTCCAACGTCGTTTTAGAGAATTTGGCAGTACGTCCAACCGGCCTCACAACCGCAGACCACGTGTAACCACGCCAGCCCATGACCTCCACATCCAGCTTCTACACCTGTGGGATCATCTGAGACCAGCCACCCGGACAGCTTATAAAACGGAGGAGTATTTCTGTCTGTAATAAAGCCTTTTTGTGGGGAAAAACTCATACTGATTAGCTGAGCCTGGCTCCCAAGTGGGTGGCCCTATGCCCTCCCAGGCCCACCCATGGCTACGCCCCTGCCCAGTCATGTGAAATCCATAGATTAGGGCCTAATGAATGTATTTCAATTGACTGATTTTCTTATATGAACTGTAACTCAGTAAAGTAGTTGAAATTGTTGCAAGTTGCATTTATATTTTAGTTCAGTATACATTAGTGCAACACATTCGGCAGAAAATAGCTTAATTTTTATCAGATGACAACAGAAGTGTAACGCTATTTGTCTGGCAGCCGCACAAGTAAATGAGCTTACACTGAAAAAGCAAGGTCTTTTTTGGAAAAACGATGCATGGCCATCATATTTCTAATGTTTATCATAGAAAGAATATAGCCAGCTACATTTCCTAATGTTTTGCTTAAACTTAATCTTGTATTATACCGGAGAAAAGCAGTCTAAACGGAAAAGTACCAGAGAAAAGTAGCTACACATCAGTCAGAGCTCTGTCATCCGAGTGGAGAAGTGCAACTGAAGCACAACATTAGTCTGATACCGAGCAGAAATTACAATAAGAAGCATTTTAGATCTGCGTTTACAAAATGCAGAAAGATATTTCTTATGCGTTTTATATTGTTTCTGTGTGAAAAACGCAGCATTCTGCATTAACTAGCAAGTTAAAGTTAAGGGTTGCATTATCTCAGTAAGTGGCTGAATTAATAAGGAGACGGGCATCATGTTGTGTTAGCTTTCTGCCATGTTTGAGAAGTCTGTACAGCTGCTATCTTGATTTTAGACATTTTTGCAAATGTATTAAAAATAAAAAACTTAAATATGACATTTACATAAGTATTCAGACTCTTTACTCAATACTTTGTTGAAGCACCTTTGGCAGTGATTACAGCGTCGATTCTTCTTGGGTATGACGCTACAAGCTTGGCACACCTGTATTTGGGGAGTTTCTCCCATTCTTCTCTACAGATCCTCTCAAGCTCTGTCAGGTTAGATGGGGAGAGTCGCTGCACAGCTATTTTCAGGTCTCTCCAGAGATGTTAGATCAGGTTCAAGTCCGGGCTCTGGCTGGGCCACTCAAGGACATTCAGAGACTTGTCCTGAAGCCACTCCTGCGTTGTCTTGGCTGTGTGCTTAGGGTTGTTGTCCTGTTGGAAGGTGAATCCTCGCCCCAGTCTGAGGTCCTGAGTGCTCTGGAGCAGGTTTACATCAAGGATCTCTCTGTACTTTGCTCCGTTCATCTTTCCCTCGATCCTGACTAGTCTCCCAGTCCCTGCCGCTGAACAACATCTCCACAGCATGATTCTGCCACCACCATGCTTCACCGTAGGGATGGCGCCAGGTTTCCTCCAGATGTGATGCTTGGCATTCAGGCCAAAGAGTTCAATCTTGGTTTCATCAGACCAGAGAATCTTGTTTCTCATGGTCAGAGTTCTTTAGGTGCCTTTTGGCAAACTCCAAGCGGGCTGTTATGTGCCTTTTACTGAGGAGTGGCTTCCGTCTGGCCACTCTACCGTAAAAGCCTGATTGGTGGAGTGCTGCAGAGATGGTTGTCTTTCTGGTAGGTTCTCCCATCTCCATAGAGGAACTCTGGAGCTCTGTCAGTGTGATGGAGGCCACTGTGTCCTTGGGGACCTTCAATCCTGCAGAAATTTTTTGGTACCCTTCCCCAGATCTGTGCCTCGACACAATCCTGTCTTGGAGCTCTATTGACAATTTATTCGACCTCATGGCTTGGTGTTTGCTCTGACATGCACTGTCAACTGTGGGACCTCATATAGACAGATGTGTGCCTTTCCAAATCATGTCCAATCAATTTAATTTACCACAGGTGGACTCCAATCAAGTTGTAGAAACATCGCAAGGATGATCAATGGAAACAGGATGCACCTGAGCTCAATTTTGAGTCTCATAGCAAAGGGTCTGAATACTTATGTAAATCCGGTATTTCCGTTTTTTATTTTGAAAACATTTGCAAACATTTCTAAAAACCAGTTTTCGCTTTGTCATTATGGGGTATTCAAATCAAATCAAATCACATTTCATTTGTCACATGTGCCGAATACAACAGGTGTAGACCTTACCGTGAAATGCTTACTTACAAGTCCTTAACCAACAATGCAGTTTTAAGACAAATAAGAGTTAAGAAAAAGATTTACTAAATAAACTAAGTAAAAAATAAAAGAGCAACAATAAAATAACAATAAAGAGGCTATATACAGGGGTTACCGGTACCGAGTCAATGTGCGGGGGGATGAAAAAATTTATGCACTCACTAACTGTAAGTCGCTCTGGATAAGAGCGTCTGCTAAATGACTAAAATGTAAAAAAATAGTACATGTTAGTCGAGGTAATTGAGGTAATATGTACATGTAGGTAGGGGTAAAGTGACTATGCATAGATAATAAACAGCGAGTAGCAGCAGCGTAAAGAAAAGGGGGGGGGGGTCAATGCAAATAGTCTGTGTGTAGATTGAGGAGGATTTTTATTTATTTAATTAATTTTAGAATAAGGCTGTAACGTAACAAAATGTGAAAAAAGTCAAGGGGTCTGAATACTTTCCGAATGCACTGTATGTATACCTTTATGAGCTGGATTGCCTTTCTTTGCAATTAATTTATTTTTGTTTGCGCTCGTTAGCATATTTAGCTAGCAGCCTCCATGGAAATTCGCTATTACCTGTGCTAATTTTGTTAGCATTCTGGTAATAGACACTCAATGGGCTTTTTAGCTTTTTTTGGCACCCCCTTGTGTATTAAACCGGTAATACCGTATATCCCGGGATGAGAAAGGACGGTATGACGATATGAAAATCTGGATACCGCCCAACCCTACTAGTTACTACACACAAGCCTTATAAATACACACAACAGCTAGGCCAGTACAAACAGAGCACACAAACAAAATATACTGAACACTTACAGACATAATTTACACACTAACAATCCCTATTCTTCCAGACTTATAAGTATCAAGATTCAACAGTAGCCTACAAGCGACTGACAGTCTACATAAAGATTGTAGTGTTCATGTGTTAACAATGTGTATCATCATGGAACCTCACTTTTCCAATGCAAAACTCCACAGGCTCCACACAGCACATGTTATTGTACCGAAAGCAAATAGCAGAGGTTGTGTAGGGATGATGTCATTGTGTAGGGACGATGTTAGAGTTATCATAGGATCAGAGTCCTCCCCCAGCCGATACACACTCATGTTTAGCCACTGTTTTACCGTTTGTGTGTTTGTGTGTGTGTGTGAGGAGTGTGTAGAGGGGAGTGTGTGTGTGTGTGTGTGTGTGTGTGTGTGTGTGTGTGTGTGTGTGTGTGTGTGTGTGTGTGAGGAGTGTGTAGAGGGGAGTGTGTGTGTGGGGAATATATAGAGGGGAGTGTGTATGTGTTTGTGTGTGGAGTGTGTAGAGGGCAGTGTGTGTGTGTCTGTGTGTCTGTGTGTGTGTGTGTGTGTGTGTGTGTGTGTGTGCGTGCGCGCGCGCGCGTGCGTGCGCGCGTGCGTGCGTGAGGAGAAAGAATAAGAGCAGTCAGGCTTCACCATGAGCTGTGCTGTTAGAAGAGCTCAATGCATTGTGGGTAAGTGTATGGCGTAGATGGATCGCCATGCCTCATCCGCCTCTTTCTCAACCTCTTTCATTCTCTCACACACTCACTCGCTTACTCTCATTGTTGATGCATGAGTGGAATTTACCTTCTGCGTCCTCAACAGGATCGATGGCTTCAATGGCCTCAATGGTAGCTGAGGATGGAGAGAAAGAGAGAAAGAGAGAGAGGGAGTGAGAGTGTGAGAAAGATAGAGAGTGAAGGAGAAAGTGAGGGAGAGAGAAAGAGGGAGGAGGGTGAGGGTTATTCATGCAAAACCCTTAGAGCGGCACTGCAGCCTTCAGTGCAGAGGGCGTTTGGTGTTAGCATGTTAGCATGTTTGGTAGCTAGCGTTAGCTCACACTCACACATACCAGGCTATTAGTACTCCTCAGCAGTAGTGAGGTGAGGGTGACACTGACTGACGTGGTGAGTAACAGATGACGAACATGGGATAGAGAGAGAGAGAGAGGGAGAGAGAGAGAGGGTGACAGAGGATGAACATGGGATAAAGAGACAGAGAGATAAAGAGACAGAGAGAGAGAGAGGAGAGAGAGAGAGAGAGAGAGAGAGAGAGAGAGAGAGGAGAGAGAGAGAGAGGGTGAACAGAGGACGAAAATGGGATAGAGAGAGAGAGGGAGAGAGAGAGAGAGAGAGAGAGGAGAGAGAGAGAGAGAGAGAGTGAGAGAGGGTGACAGAGGAAAGGAAAGGAAGGAAAAGAGAGGGGTGGATAGATAGATAGTGTGTGTGTATATAGATAGTGTGTGTATGCAAATGTGTGTGAGAAAGTGGGAATGTGTGTGTGAGTGTGTGTGTGTGTGTGTGTGTGTGTGTGTGTGTTACGTGTGTGTGTGTGTTGTGTGTGTGTGTGTGTGTGTGTGTGTACTCACCGCTCTGCAGAGTCTGCTTGCCTCCTGACAGAACTCCGCTGGGCAGCATGCCAGTGGGTGTCAGTCCCTTCAGGGTCAATACGTTCTCACTCTCCTCCCTAAAACACAGATACACACACACATAGAGGATTAAAAACACACAGACACACACACACTAGCATACACACTCTCACATGCATCTGCGCACACACATACAAAAAAAATATGCTCATACACAGAGACCTACGCAATTGTTCACACAGACACACACACACACACACAGACACACACACACTGAAGCTCACTCACCGTAAAACTTGGAACATTTTGGCCATCTTCCCGATGGCACGGATCTTGTTCCTGATCACCTCTTTCCTAGCCGCCGCTGCATTGGCTGGAAGCAACCAATCACAGAGGTGTAAAACACAGGACACCAATCAAAAGAACGTGAAAAGGAAGGTTATATTGACATAACAATAGTGAACTGGAACCAACCAATCAACACGTATAAGATCTCCTAAACCTGTGTTAACCTAAGACCTTATTTTTGGCATTTTTTCCTAAAACCCTATTCTTTCCCCCTGAACGGACCAGAGGTAACTCATTGGTTTTTAGGACTACAAGCTGGCAAGCTCTATAAAGGTATGATTACCATCATAGACCTCTTCCTCTCCATCATTCTCCATGAGCTCATCATCTGAACAGATACTGAGAACATTCACTAGCATCTCTGTCACTGTGGAAAGATAGAAAGAGAGAGAGAGAGAGAGAGAGAGAGAGAGAGAGAGAGAGAGAGAGAGAGAGAGAGAGAGAGAGAGAGAGGGGGCACAGTCAATATGAGCGAGAGAAAGAGAGAGAGAAAGACAGGCAAAGACAGAGACAAAATAAGAGAGAGAACATATTCAGAGAACATATTATTCTGGTGTTTGTAATACGTCTAGTCGTTTTTCCCACCTTTCTCTCCAACGAAGGGCAGGGACCAGGTGAAGACGTCCATGAAGTTGGGCAGCCAGTAGGGATGAGGGGAACAGTTGAACTGACGGATGTTCATCACATTGTTCTCATACTTCAGCACCGCCGCTATGAGAGAATGAGAGAGGACTGTTACACACTGATAGCCTACTGGTGTGTGTGTGCGTGTACGCGTGTGTGCGTGTACGCGTGTGTGTGCGTGTACACGTGTGCGTGTGTGTGTGCGTGTACGCGTCTAACCTTTGTTGTTGTAGACGTCCAGGTAGTTAGGTGCTGAGAAGATGGTGATGAGGGAGGGGAAGCCTGTAGTCTGACTCTTTCTGTACATCCGGTACCTGAACAGGGACACAGTCAGGGAATACAGATTAGGATTAGGGTTAGGGTTAGGATTACATAGATTGGGTGTAGGGTTAAAGATATGGTTGTTGTGTGGTTAAGGTTAGCCTTGACTATGGATAGCTGTGATTATAAATGGACTGATTTGATTATGAAACCTTATGCTGCTGTTTTGGTTGACATAACAACCCCTATCCCCACCCCCCAAACACTTAACCCACATCTCCAGCCCCGGATCAACACACACTGGGGTAGACAGGTGAATGTTTTAAACATAATACATTAAATTAGAGTCCTTTACTGTCACCCTGTCACTTGCCATGTGAAGAATAACAGTGTTTTGTCAATAACCAAAGAAGAAGTAGGGCTTCTCTTACCCAGAATCTTGCGCTTCATGTGCTCTGATGACCGACAACAAGTTGTTGGTCTGTAGAAACTCACACACGGCAGGGTAACTGGAGAGAGAGAGAGTTTCTATTCTGAACAACCCTGCATTTTACAGACTGGGATAGTATGCCTACTCTGAAACAGCTTACATTGAATGACCACCAGGGGTCATCATTGAGCCCAAAATGAACAGCAGAAACATCTATTTTTTTATTTATTTTTTATTTAACCTTTATTTAACCAGGTAAGCCAGTTGAGAACAAGTTCTCATTTACAACTGCGACCTGGCCAAGATAAAGCAAAGCAGTGCGATAAAAACAACAACACAGAGTTACATATGGGGTAAACAAAACATAAAGTCAAAAATACAACAGAAAATATATATACAGTGTGTGCAAATGTAGCAAGTTATGGAGGTAAGGCAATAAATAGGACATAGTGCAAAATAATTACAATTTAGTATTAACACTGGAATGATAGATGTGCAAGAGATGATGTGCAAATAGAGATACTGGGTTGCAAATAAGCAAAATAAATAACAATATGGGGATGAGGTAGTTGGGTGGGCTAATTTCAGATGGGCTGTGTACAGGTGCAGTGATCGGTAAGGTGCTCTGACAACTGATGCTTAAAGTTAGTGAGGGAGATAAGAGTCTCCAGCTTCAGAGATTTTTGCAGTTCGTTCCAGTCATTGGCAGCAGAGAACTGGAAGGAATGGCGGCCAAAGGAGGTGTTGGCTTTGGGGATGACCAGTGAGATATACCTGCTGGAGCGCATACTACGGGTGGGTGTTGCTATGGTGACCAATGAGCTAAGATAAGGCGGGGATTTGCCTAGCAGTGATTTATAGATGACCTGGAGCCAGTGGGTTTGGCAACGAATATGTAGTGAGGACCAGCCAACAAGAGCGTACAGGTCACAGTGGTGGGTAGTATATGGGGCTTTGGTGACAAAACGGATGGCACTGTGATAGACTACATCCAATTTGCTGAGTAGAGTGTTGGAGGCTATTTTGTAAATGACATCGCCGAAGTCAAGGATCGGTGGATAGTCAGTTTTACGAGGGCATGTTTGGCAGCATGAGTGAAGGAGGCTTTGTTGCAAAATAGGAAGCCGATTCTAGATTTAACTTTGGATTGGAGATGCTTAATGTGAGTCTGGAAGGAGAGTTTACAGTCTAACCAGACACCTAGGTATTTGTAGTTGTCCACATACTCTAGGTCAGACCCGTCGAGAGTAGTGATTCTAGTCGGGTGGGCGGGTGCCAGCAGCGTTCGATTGAAGAGCATGCATTTAGTTTTACTAGTGTTTAAGAGCAGTTGGAGGCTACAGAAGGAGTGTTGTATGTCATTGAAGCTCGTTTGGAGGTTTGTTAACACAGTGTCCAATAAAGGGCCAGATGTATACAAAATGGTGTCGTATGCGTAGAGGTGGATCTGAGAGTCACCAGCAGCAAGAGCGACATCATTGATATACACAGAGAATAGAGTCGGCCCGAGAATTGAACCCTGTGGCACCCCATCGAGACAGCCATAGGTCTGGACAGGTAGTAGTAGGAGCGCAGTGTATTTTTCTCTCAGTAGACTGTAGTGTGGGCTCCATATTGTATAGCACCATATTATGACGACCGTCTCAACTATTCATCACTCCATTCCTCTGGTCTCTCATTTTATTCATCTCTTTTTTCTCCCTCACTCCCCCTCTCTCTCAAGCTCTCTTTCCCTCACTGTATCTTAATATCAATCCCCAATCTAGCAGTAGTAGCCAGTCGTCATGGAAACAGAATGGTGCAGTCTCCCTAGGGATTGTGGGATATGGTTTAAGCTGAAACATGTGTGTGGTTCTGTGAGATAACTGGCCAATATTACAGCTGTTACACAAATCCCAATTATTCTTTGGTTGTTGGATCTCTGAAGCAGCTTGTAGTCTACTAGTACAACACATTTCTCATCTCACATCCAGTACTTTGTTCCTCACCTTTCTCCTGTATATCACACCTAAAGATGCTCCGGACGTGTGTGTGTGTGTGTGTGGTGTGTGTATGCGGGTGTGCGAGTGTCTGAGTGCAAGTGTGTGCGTGTGTATCCGTATTGGTGTCTGTGTGCATTGTCATGTTAAAACCTGTGATTACCTGTAGAAGTAGGAGCAGCCCCTGACTGTGTTGTGGCCGAAGTACTCTTGTGTCTTCTCGTTGCCAAAGTCCTCGAGCGGGTCGGCCCACAGCAGGTCACACATGGGCCCGAATGCTGGAGGCTCCTTGAACCTGTCCAACTGGATTACAGAGACAAAGACAACACAACATATGCATACACTGTATAGATACAATAAATTCCTATCTACACCAGAACACAGAGAGAGATGAAGGCAGTTCTTTGAACCTGTTCAACTGAACTACAGAAAGAACCAGAACACACAGAAATAACAGAGAGAGAGAGAGAGAGAGAGAGAGAGAGAGAGAAAGAGAGAGAGAGAGAGAGAGAGAGAGAGAGAGAGAGAGAGAGAGAGAGAGAGAGAGAGAGAGAGACAACAGCATATACTGTACAGGAAGTGGAGTCAAACCAAGGGTTGAATCTCCATGGTAACCAGGGCATTAACAGCATGTGTGTGTTTGTGTGCTATAAAAACCTTTTTGATGTCGTCAAGCGTGTGGATCTCTGGCGAGAGCCCTCCATGGACACACAAGAACTGCTGGTTCATCAGAGCAGCCAGCGGCAAGCAGTCAAACGCATCCATACATGAGTCATACACCTGCTCAGAGTACTTTATCTTACCTGAAAAGGGGGAGGGGAGAGAGAGGAGGGGGGCAGAGAGAAAGGATGGGGGGACATAGAGAGAGAGAGAGAGAGAGAGAGAGAGAGAGAGAGAGAGAGAGAGAGAGAGAGAGAGAGAGAGAGAGAGAGAGAGAGAGAGAGAGAGAGCGAGAGAGAGAGGCACAGTCAATATGAGAGAGCGATAGAGAAAGAGGAGAGAAGAGAGAGAGAGAGAAAGAAGAAAGAGAAGAGAGAGAGAGAGAGAGAGAGAGAGAGAGAGAGAGAGAGAGAGAGAGAGAGAGAGAGAGAGAGAGAGAGAGAGAGAGAGGTAGGTCAGTAGCCAAACTATGCTGTGTATGTGTGTGTACATGTGTAAGGTATGTGTGTGTACATGTGTAAGGTATGTGTATGTACATGTGTAAGGTGTGTGTGTGTTTTTGTGATTGTGTTTGTCAGAGAGATAATTAATGTAGAGAGAGATCATTAATACCAGTTCACCAGCCTCTCTCTCTCCCTCCCCCTCTCTCTAACACACACACACACACAAACACACACACACACACACAGCAGATGGTAATTGAGGGCGACCACTATTCGCCATAAGCATCAGGGGAAATTAGACTCCTCGTCCCCTGGCCAATCACACACAGCAGACTACGTCCCTGGGCCAATCATTAAGGGCCAAATTAATTTCCTGGTAATCACCTGTTCTCTGACGGGGCACTGTGATCCAAAACCAGAGGAGAGACAGAGGGGAGGATGGGAAGAGAGAGAGAGAGGATGGATGGATGAGAGGATGGAATGAGCATTGGATGAGAAATGGATGTGAGAGATGAAACAACGGAGAAGCCAGGAAGCTTGTCACACCCTGGCTCTGGGGACTCTATAGTTTGAGCCAGGGTGTGTAGTTTCTATGTGTTTTGTTTCTATGTTCACGATCTAGTTTTGTATTTCTGTGTTGGCCAGAGTGGTTCCCAATCAGAGGCAACGAGTGTCAGCTGTTGCTGGTTGTCTCTGATTGGGAGCCATATTTATAGAGGCTGTTTTCCCACAATAGTTGTGGGATCTTGTTCTAGTTGATTTGTGTTAGACCGTTGACTGTCACGTTATCGTTTTGTTGTTTTGGTCGTGTATCACTAATAAAGAGTATGTTCGTCTGCAACGCTGCGCCTTGGTCCTCATCTGTTCCCGACGATCGTGACAGAAGATCCCACCAAAACTGGACCAAGCAGCGTGAAGAGGAGAGAGGAAGGACTTGGGATCAGTGGAGTAGGAGTCTCGACTGGGCCAAGCCAAGTGAAGAGCAGAGAGGTTGGACTATGGAGCAGTGGATTAAGAGTCTCGACTGGGCCAAGCCAAGTGAAGAGCAGAGAGGTTGGACTTTGGAGCAGTGGGGTGAGAGTCTGGCGAGAACTAGGGAGGCCTGGTCCACGGGGAGGAGAGACCCCCAGAAAATTTTTAGGGGGGGGCTCACGCCGTGGACGACGGGGCAGCAGGAGGCCGTGATGGAGCGGTCCAGCGGGTGTGCAGAGGAGGCCGCCAGGTTAAGGGGGCCACTGGTCACAGAGGAGAGGGAAAGTGTGGAGGCACGGCGAGAGGTACTGGGGTGTGTTACCAGTCCGGTCCGGCCCGTTCCTGATCCCTGCGTAGGGCCAGTGGTGTGTGTCCCCAGTACGGTCCGGCCTGTTCCTGTTCCTCGCATCGAGCCTGTGGTGCGTGTCGTCAGCCCGGCCCGGCCTGTTCCTGCTCCCCGCACCGAGCCTATGGTGCGCGTCGCCAGCCTGGCCCGGCCTGCTCCTGCTCCCCGCACCAAGCCTATGGTGCGCGTCGCCAGCCCGGCCCGGCCTGTTCCTGCTCCCCGCACCGAGCCTATGGTGCGCGTCGCCAGCCCGGTCCGGCCTGTTCCTGCTCCCCGCACCGAGCCTATGGTGCGCGTCGCCAGCCCGGCCCGGTCTGTTCCTGCCACTCGCACCAAGCCTACGGTGCGCGTCGCCAGCCCGGCCCGGCCTGTTCCTGCTCCACGCACCAAGCCAGGGGTGCGTATCGTCAGCCCGGTCCAGCCCGTTGCTGCTCCACGCACCAAACCAGGGGTGCGCATCGTCAGCCCGGTCCGGCCCGTTCCTGCTCCACGCACCAAGCCAGGGGTGCGCATCGTCAGCCCGGTCCGGCCCATTCCTGCTCCACGCACCAAGCTAGGGGTGCGCATCGTCAGCCCGGTCCGGCCCGTTGCTGCTCCACGCACCAAGCCAGGGGTGCGCGTCGTCAGTCCGGCACAACCCGTGCCTGGGTCACCGGTGCCTGATCAGGTACCGGTCAGCTGCTCCACACCGGAGCTTAAGCAATCCGCTCCTTCGATGTCCAGTCCAGCTCCAGCCAGCGGGGCCAGACCGGACCAGGGGCGTTACGGGGGGATTATTGGAGGGGGGTGGGAAAGCCCGGAGCCGGAACCGCCTCCGAGGAGGAATGCCCACCCAGCCCTCCCCTGTTTGGGTTTTGTTGAGTCGCGGTCGCAGTCCGCGCCTTTGGGGGGGGCTACTGTCACACCCTGGCTCTGGGGACTCTATAGTTTGAGCCAGGGTGTGTAGTTTCTATGTGTTTTGTTTCTATGTTCACGATCTAGTTTTGTATTTCTGTGTTGGCCAGAGTGGTTCCCAATCAGAGGCAACGAGTGTCAGCTGTTGCTGGTTGTCTCTGATTGGGAGCCATATTTATAGAGGCTGTTTTCCCACAATAGTTGTGGGATCTTGTTCTAGTTGGTTTGTGTTAGACCGTTGACTGTCACGTTATTGTTTTGTTGTTTTGGTCGTGTATCACTAATAAAGAGTATGTTCGTCTGCAACGCTGCGCCTTGGTCCTCATCTGTTCCCGACGATCGTGACAAAGCTAGTATTAAGGGAGGGGAGGAAAGGGAGGATACAGGAAGAGGGAGAGAACACACCCACTGGACACACACTGGTTGAATCAACGTTTCTACCTAATTTCAAGGAAATTATGTTGAACCAACGTGGAATACACTCTTAGAAAAAAAGGTGCTATCTTGACCCTAACATGGTTCTTTGGCTGTCCCCATAGGAGAACCCTTTGAAGAACCCTTTTTGGCTCCAGGTAGGACCCTTTTGGGTTTCATGAAGAACCCTTTCCACAGAGGGTTCTACATGAAATCCAAAACGGTTCTACCTGAAACCAAAAAGGGTTCTAACTGGAACCAAAAAGGTATCTCCTATGGGGAAAGCCAAAGAACCCTTTTAGAAAAATAAAATCTAAGAGTGTAGACGATGAATTGACGTCTGTGCCCAGTGGGCAAATACTCACATTCAGTTTTGAAAGTGAAATATTCTGTCAGGTGTCTACATTCATGGTTTCCCCGTAGAAGAAATAACGTCTTTGGGTAGAGGATTTTCAACGACCACAGATACAACACACACTAAGAGAGGCGAGAGAGAACACAGAAAGATCCGTCAGTAACAGTACAGCTCTGAGGAAAAAATGACCAGTTAGCTACTCATTTGATGTCTGGACTACTGCAACTCGCTGTTGGCTGGGCTCCCTGCCTGTGCCATTAAACCCCTACAACTCATCCAGAATGCCGCAGCCCGTCTGGTGTTCAACCTTCCCAAGTTCTCTCACGTCACCCCCCTCCTCCGCACACTCCACTGGCTTCCAGTTGAAGCTCGCATCCGCTACAAATGGTGCTTGCCTATGGAGCAGTGAGGGGAAACGGCACCTCTGTACCTTCAGGCTCTGATCAGTCCCTACAACCCAAACGAGACATTGCGTTCATCCACCTCTGGCCTGCTGGCTCCCCTTCCTCTGCGGAAGCATAGCTCCCGCTCAGCCCAGTCAAAACTGTTCGCTGCTCTGGCACCCCAATGGTGGAACAAGCTCCCTCACGACGCCAGGACAGCGGAGTCACTCACCACCTTCCGGAGACATTTGAAACCCCACCTCTTTAAGGAATACCTGGGATAGGATAAAGTATTCCTTCTAACCCCCCCCCCCCCCAAATTGTAAAGTGGTTATCCCACTGGCTATAGGGTGAACGCACCAATTTGTGAGTCGCTCTGGCTAAGAGCGTCTGCTAAATGACGTTAATGTGCCCTTGAGCAAGGCACTTAACCCTAATTGCTCCTGTAAGTCGCTCTGGTTAAGAGCGTCTGCTAAATGACTAAAATGTAAATGTAAATGTCAGGCTCAAAGTCCTAGATTCAAAGTTACCTGGTTAAACACTTCTTAGTATGCAGAAAGTAGTGTGCCTCTAGGTAAGTATGCAGTAGCTAGTGTGCACTAGGTAGTGTGTCCCTAGGAAATATGCAGGGTATTGTTTCCCTAGGTAGTATGCACTAGATAGTGTGGACTAGGTAGTGTGCACTAGATAGTGTGGACTACGTAGTGTGCACTAGATAGTGCGGACTAGGTAGTGTGCACTAGATAGTGTGGACTACGTAGTGTGCACTAGATAGTGTGGACTAGGTAGTGTGCACTAGATAGTGTGTACTAGATAGTGTGTACTAGGTACTGTAGTGTGCCCTCACTTCAATACTGAAGTAGCCCCGGTCCACGTAGTCCCCTAGGAAGAGGTAGCGCGTCGTCGCGGGGGAACCGCCCACCTCAAACAGCTTCATCAGGTCAAAGAACTGACCGTGGATGTCTCCACACACTGAAACACAGCGTTACAACAACGTTACACTCATAGAATTAGGAATTAGAATCATTCTAGTAATTAGAAGGGTCTCTATGGTTAGACTAACATACAACCTCAAACACAACAATGTTAAACACACAACCTCAGTACTACAGAATCACATTCCTATTACTTTAGTTTAATCTTACAATAGATGACAACCTGCATATATTACTTTAGTTTAATCTTACAATAGATGACAACCTGCATATATTACTTTAGTTTAATCTTACAATAGATGACAACCTGCATATATTACTTTAGTTTAATCTTACAATAGATGACAACCTGCATATATTACTTTAGTTTCATCTTACAATAGATGACAACCTGCATATATTACTTTAGTTTCATCTTACAATAGATGACAACCTGCATATATTACTTTAGTTTCATCTAGTCTTACAATTGATAACAACCTGCATATATTTACAACCAGTCTCTGGAAGTGACAACAAAGCAGAAAGGTAAACATCAACCCTTTCTCTTATTTTTTCTAGTAAATTCCATGATAATGTAAATTGTCAAATAAAAAAAGCCCTACTCTGACAGTGGCACTACCACCACTACACTTTCTCCTTACTGTCATATGTTCCTACAGAACAAACAGCATAGAGCGTTAGAGAGATGAAGCGTAATGGCTGCTGTGTGTGTGTGTGTGAAGCCTGCCTGTAGCCTGCCTGTAGCCTGCCTGTAGCCTGCCTGTAGCCTGCCTGTAGCCTGCCTACCACCTCTTCTCTCTAGGGACTAGCAGTAACTGTGAAAACCACAGAGTAGTTAGCTACCTTCTCTTCTCTCACTGTGTGTGTGGGATGTGTGCTGTCATGGAATTATCTTACAGCTACCATTTCCATGGAGAAAGACACACACACCAAAGCTACCAGTAGCTACACAAGTCAAAACTAAAACACAGCCTTTTCGCTGGTCTTTAATGTAGGCTACAGGCAGCTACACAAGTCCCTTCTCTCTTTATCGGCTTTCATCATTACTCTCTCTGTTTATCTGCCAAACCATGTTCTGTTCCTCTGTCAGCACCTCCCTTCCCAACTTCCCATCACTCTCTCAATTCAGTTCAGTTCACCATATTATTGGCAGGGAGATTTTTTTTT